AAGTTGCCCTTGAGAAGGTATTGATGAGCTACCTTTTTAAATAGCTGCAGTCCATGTGCTGTGGTAAACCCGCAAAGTCATGAGGGATGGACTTCCAGGTTTTGACCCAGGGACACTGAAGGAATAGTGAAGTATTTCCGAGTCAGATGGTGAGTGACTTGGAGGGGAGCTTGCAGGTGGTGATGTTCTCATGTATCCGCTGCCCTTGTCCTTCTAAATGGAAGTGGTTGTGTGTTTGGAAGTTGCTGTCCTAGGATCTTTGATGAATTTTTGCAGTGCATCTTGGAGATAGTATGCGCTGCTGCTACTGCATGTTGGCAGTGGAGGGTATGGATTTTTGTGGATATGGTATCAATCAAGTGGGTTGCTTCCTGAAGTTGGTCTCATTCGGGCAAGTGGGAATATTTCATCACAGTCCTGACTTGTGCCTTGTAGGTGGTGGATAGACTTTGGGGAGTCAGGAGGTGAGCTATTCACTGCAGTATTCCTAGGCTCTGGGCTGCCCTTGTAGCCACTATTATATGGTGAGTCCAGTTGAGATTCTGGTCAATGGTAACTCCTAGGATGTTGATCATGAGGGATTCAGTGATAGTAACGCCATTGAATGACAAGGGGCAGTGGATGGATTTTCTTTTATTGGAGATGGTCATTGCCTGGCATTTGTGTGGAGCAAATATTACTTGCCACTTTTCAGCCCAAGCCTGTTGCATTTGGACATCCTCAATATCTGAGGAGTCACAAATGGTGCTGAACAATGTGTAATCATCAGCAAACATCCCCACTTCTGACATTATAATGGAGGGTAGGTTATTAATGAAGCAGCTAAAGATGTTTGGACTTAGGACAGAACTCTGAGGAATTCCTGCAGAGATGTCCTGGGGCTGAGATGACTGACCTCCAACAACTACAACCTTCTTCCGATGAACACAAGATACAACTCAGATATACCCATGGCCCTCCAGAATCTCCCTTCCCTCTCCCAACCCCACCTCCTATTGTGTATTTACTATCCCTCCTGACCTTCCGCTGTCCAATGCTGAACGTTCCATACTCAGCAAAGGTCTCAGTTTTATCCTCTATGTCCCCACCTGAATGAATTTTGGGCATGACGTGACGGATCAGTTCTGAGGAAGGGTCACTGGACCCAAAACGATAACTCTGATTTCCCTCCACAGATGCTGCCAGACCTGCTGAGCTTTTCCAGCAATTTCTGTTTTCGCTTCTTGCTGTGTGCCCAGGTGTGACTCCAGTCAGTAGAGACTTTTCCCCCTGATTCCCAATGACATCAGCTTTTGTGAGGGCTCTTTGATGCCATACTCGGTCTAATGTAGCCTTGGGCTGTCACTCCCACCTCACCTCTAAAATTAAGTTCTTTTTTTTTCCTATTCTAAACAAGGCTGTAATGAGGTCAGGAGCTGAGTGGCCTTAGTGAAACTCAAACTGGGCATCACTAAGCTGGTTCTTGCTGAGCAGGTATTGCTTGACAATATTGTTGATGACACTTTCCATCAGTTTACTAATGATGAAGAGTAGACTGATGGGGTGGTAATTGGCCAGGTTGGATTTGGCCAGCTTTTTTGTGTACAGGACACTCCTCAGCAATTTCCTATGTTGTCGGGCAGATGCCAGTGTTGTAGCTGGAAGACTTACCCTAGCGATGTACAGGAATTCTGCCTCTCTGCTATATCAGAAATGGGAAAAGTATCACATCTGGATTTAAAAGAATTGGATTAAATAGGATCAAATCCTTGTGGGCTCCAAGTGCCTGTAAACCTGTCATATCCCATCCTTCTTCCCAGTGAACATTGGATTTTTTGTGCCTTTGAGTTCAGGAATTGCAGGTCCATAGTTTCTGTTTTCCAGCGCCAAACATTCAGAATGAAATCTTGCAATTTCCTCATTTATGAATATTATTTTTACTGTATTATTTTTATAATATTTGTAAATTCACTTTATTGTTGCTCAATTTCTTCATGTCAAATCATTTCCTATATGGAAGGAAGTTGAAGCAGAACTGAATAAATTGAAAAAAAAACTGGTACACAAGTAACTGAAATTGCAGATGATATAAAACTTGGTTATTTCTTCCAGTAATGATCCCAAATTCCGGGAATCCACATGATTCTTAAATGAGATTATTACAGAAATAAACTGATTATAGACATAGGCATAGTCCTGTTCAATGTCAATGCAAATTCCTGGAAGTTTATAAAGTTTATAAAATTATGAGAGGCATAGATAGGGTTGAGAGTCAGAATCTTTTTCCCAGAATTGAAATGTTTAATACTAGAGGGCATGCATTTAAGGTAAGAGGGGGAAAGTTCAAAGGAGGTGTGAGGGGTTTTTTTATACATAGTGGCAGGAATCTGGTCCACACTGCCAGGGGTAGTGGTGGAGGCAGATATGATAGCAGCATTTAAGGGGCTTTTAGATAAGCACATGAATAAGCAAGGAATGGGGAATATGTACCACAGGCAGGCAGAAGGGTTTAGTTTAATTTGGCGTCATGTTCAGCACAACAGTGTGGTCCGAAGTACCTTTTCATGTGTTGTAGCATTCTATGTTCTAGTCAATGATTAAAGAATCATTGAAGACACAGGACCTGGTGTTATGATTGTAGGGGAGGGTGGGATGAATGATAACATTAGTTAGGTGGAGATGACAAACCACTTGTAGCAAGAGCAGAAGAACTATTATAAGTACTTACAGACTGGTAACAGGAGACAGGAACATTGGAATGAAAATGAATATTGGCAAACAAAAGGAATACAAATTTCAAAATAACCAAGAAACGTTTATGAATTCATAGAACAACTGAAAGGGTTCAAGAATTCAGGAAGCATAATATCTGCAGATGGCAAATGCAACAAAGAAATCTGAACAAGAATAACATTGGGAAAGCCTATATTTTGTAAGGAGAGACAACTGGTAACTGGAAAACAACAAATTACTCAAAAAAACCTTGTGAGAGTTTGATTTGGAATGTTGTTTTGCATCGATACAAAGCATGGACTTTATGGAAGGAGGAGACCTACTTGATAAATAGCTTTAAAGTCTTAGTTTGGAGGAGAATGGAACGGATCTATTAGATAGAAAAAGCAAATGCTAAGTTTGTGTGCAGTATGAATCAACAAAGAAGTTATTGAATGTAATTAAGAAAAGGCAGGGTAGGGCATATTTTAGGAAGAAACAGACTTGTATGAGATATTATGGAGAGAAAATATCACAGGAAAAAAAGAGTAAGGGAGAGAATATCAATGCGAGATGGCTTGAAAAAAAAGGAAATTATTGTCAAATGAAAAAATTGGAACAAAGTAGAGTGATGCAGAAAGATTACAAAGAGCCAAGGTTGTGCCTTGGGTAGAGTGCACATGATGACGATGATGAAACTGACTGTATGTATTTTCTAAGCTAAACTTAAAATCTAGTTATCACTGGCAAGAAATCAATCAGAAGAGCTGCTGAATTACAATCAACATGAGGGCTGCTAATGAGTCTTGTGATTATTGAGTATGGTGAGCTCGTAGTTATGGCACTGAACTAGGCAATTTATACAAATACTAGGAAAATTGTGAATTAAATTCGTACTATGGCAAACTAGTTTCAGAAAATTCTGAAAGCTGCTGGACTACTGCAAAACTCCAACTGATTCACTGGATTGAATAAAATAGGTGTTGGGTTCTGACAAGGGGACTATATGTTGGTCTTAAACCCAAGAATATATGAGGCCTGCTCACCTGCACCATTGTCCTACTGTTGGCCAAAAACAATCTTTCTGTGAGAGCTTTGTCCAATTAGGGATGGAAGGAAGACTGTTGAAGCAGGGAGGCCCCACTGATGGCAGTGACTTTCCAATGCATGAAGGGGACCATGAGAATGCCTCAAAATGAAGGCATCCTCTGCAGGCTTGGAAAACCTTTAAAATAAAGTGTGACTACATCTGCTGGGTCATCATTGTGGAGGTGGAGGTCCTAAACATGATGACATGCAGTCATGGTTGTAGACCCTCCTCCATGAGATTCCTGCAAGAAATTGCTGACATTCTTGCTTTGTAATCTACCTCCACCCCTTGGAATAATCCAACCTCTAAAACAGAACTCCTCTCTGGTTCAATTTACATGTGCCTTCACAGTTGACTTTAATTGCTTAGCACATTGCTGAGCAATAAAAACAATTTATTGAGATAACTGGGATTGGGCACAAAATGCAGCTTTATCAATATCATTCATCGAAGAAAAAACTTTTAAACAACTATCTATATTGCTGTTCCATATTATTTGACCAGAGAAAACATACATTTGGAACCATATCCGTTGGTCACCGAATAGTAAATAAAATTTACTGATAGTGGAAAAACAAACTAGGCAATTGGCACTGTTCTGATATTACAGAAATTAGAGATTAAAAATTATCCAGGCTTTCAGTTGAATTGCTGGGGTACATTTTAAATTCCATTTTGCATTATGTCAATAGCCTCAGAAAACTTGTAGTTTGAAATAAACATTTTTTTTGCTAAAGAAGCTTTCCATGTCTAAACGTTAGGTCTGTTTCTCTTCCCAGCACTTCCTTTTTTTAAATGTCATATCTGCAGCGTCCACAGTCTTTTGCTTTTATAATGTTGTTCGTTTAATCGTGAGGCAGTCCTGAACAATGCCAATTGAACACACTAGCTTAACGTACTTGGTATAAACAGCCTTAAGAAAGCGCTTCATGTTGAACTAATACAAGCAAAACATCATAAAGACCTTTCCAGTAAGTTATGTTCACTCTTGGCAATTATTATCAGTTTTAAGCAGGTTGATCTCTTGGAGCTGAGAGAACAAATGTTTAATTGCATTGCTTGTTAATTCATCCTTTGATTGTCATTGTGTTAGTGTTTCCAGAATGCAGCCATAAATTTTCTTTTGACATGTTGCTTTCTTTTTCTCATTTGAAGTGAATTGAACAAAAATAAGCCAACAGCTGTGTCAGTTTGTGCTCTGTACCGCCCCTGGCGGGGTGCTGCTAAACGCTGTGGACTACATAGTGTGCAGGGAGGCAGGGCAATGAGTGAGCTGCCACCACCACCGCCGCTGTGGTCACCATTCCAGCCCGGATCACTTCCTTGAAAAAAAGCACAACACAGCTCTGCACGTACAGAGCAGCTGGGAGCCATGGCGGAGAGCGGCGGCGGCGGTGGAGGAGGAGTAGGCGGGTTGCAGCAGGGATCGCAGGCGGTGTGTGTTGTTTCCTCGGACTCGGTGCCTCTTGTGCCGGTGTCGCTGGCTCTGCCGGTTGTCAGCTGCGCCGCGGTTGCAGCGAGCGGCCGTTCCGCCGCCGCGGGGAGTCAGCAGCAGCAGCGGGAGAGGATTGCGCTGAGAAAGGCGCAGCTCCGCAACTACCCCCGGACAAAGAAACTGGAAAAACTCGGCGTTTATTCCGCCTGCAAGGTACCGACTGGAACCTGCTGATCTGAGCGCGGGGGGTGGGGGGGCGAAACATGGGGCCCGGGCACCCCCAGCAAACAATCTGAAGTCTCTTTTAAAACAGGCTCCTCTCCGATGAAGTGACATGTCAGAATTAATTTTGTTTTGACTGTATTCGTGTCAGGTCGGCTTGTTTTGCAATAGGGGGCGGGTTTGTTTCGGTATCTGGCACTTCTGTGTTGTAAACAATGTTAGGATCGCTGCATGCTGTGTCACTTTCTAAAATTCGATGACAGGTTTTATGGTTGTAATGTCACACTCCTGTAATTTTCCCACATTCTGTTGCGGTAAGTCTTGGTGTTAAATGGTGTACTGTGAATATTTCAATGAGTTTTTTTTTAAAAACCAGTTTGACTTTTAGTACTGGTGAAATGCCAAAAGTATAAATCTTAGTTGTAATATTGCCAATTTTCCCTCAAAAAAGAAGTGCAACTAAACATTGACCTCTTGTCAAATAATTTGATGTGTTTCTTTCTTTGGCTTAGGAACTGTGACATACCTTGCACCCAGATGAAGTGATGCAAACTTTAGGCTAAATGCTCATCACAGTGATTGTGGCATGTAGCCAAGTCCAGCTGACTTGCTGCATGTACAGCAGGAGGTCCAAGTATGGGAGAGGCTAGTGCACCCTACAGCTTGCCTGCATATGTTCTTAAATAAAGTACCAAAGGAGCAGCAGTCCTGAGAGCGGGGCTCCCAGATCTTCTAGATGGAGACCTTAGTTAAGAGTGTGGAAAGGAGGAGATATCATATTTCCACAGAGGTCCTAAAGATCTACACTATGATGGGAATGGGAGTACATAACCATGGAATCTTGCGCTGAGGACAAAAATGCAGTGCCACATTCAGAACAGCGGTGGATACTTTGCTGTTATAGAACTTTGCCTCATCGATTTTGTGCCTACAGCATGTGTCAGCAGCTTATGCGGCAAACGTGGTGATTGTTTTTCAACCAAGTGGCCACACACTGTTATCAGTCAGACAATGTCAGCAGAGTCAATCATAGGCATTGTCTGATCTCTGCTAGAGGCTTGGACTTAGTCAGTCAGCCATTTGGGGTATTCAGGGACAGGTGCACCATGTCATTACAGTCAGGGGAGTGGACTTGGTCAGCCTGCTGAACCCGTTTAACCATGCTAGGAATTGTTTAGTAGGGAATCTGTTCAGCTCCATCAGGTGTCTGGTCACTCAGCAACCAAGGCTGTCTTTTGAAGGTGGTCAGGGATGTGTGCCACAGTCAGTTTGGGGTCTGTCCACTCAAAAACAAGATGTGGGGTGTTAATCAAGGATCAAGGATCACATGAAGAAGTCACAACAGAGTTACCCTCAGGATGTGGAGGAAATACAGGAGACCCAGAGTCTGTTGTCTGTGCCGCTTCCACCAGATGAACAAGGGATGGCGCCAACACTGGATAAGGATGTCCAAGGACACTATCACAGGATTATACCAAATACTGTATCAGGACATGCTACCTGATGGGTTGCGTAGCCATCCTATCCCAGTGGTGGATATCCTACTGGCTGCTTCGAAGCAGCCACTGCGGACTTGTATGGAATTTCAAATCTTAACCCACAAACATATTAAGGCTTTTAATGATGTTATCGGTGCAAGATCACACTTCTTGTTTCCTCATGATGTGGTCAGTGCTGCAGCCTGGGCAGGTGCTTTGTCAACTTAGCTGGCTTCCCCAGGTGCAGTCTGTTATAGACTGTACACATTGTTGTTTTAAGAGCACCATTGCATAATGGGCAGACTTCATCATTAGAAAAGGATTTCATTCAGTCAATGATTTGTCTGAATTTGTCTGTGATCATTGGTAGCACATAGTACCAGGCACCCTGGAATTTGTCATGATGCCTGCTTCCTTGATAATTTTTGGATTCCTGCTTTTATTTCAAAGGCCTGTTGCCTTATGAGAATGGCTGGTGGAAGATGAGGGCTTTCCAAGCATTGTTGATGATTTGGTTATGCTACCCTTTGAGGGCAAGCATAGATACAGTGCACCATTTTCTTCTACCAGGGCCATGCTGGAGCAGATGATAGGCCAGATGAAGATGAGGTTCCACTGTTTTGGATCCGTTTTGATTGGCCTTAACGCTTGAATGCTGTTCCTTGCGCAACCAAAACAGTTACTGAGGCAATACTGAAGATGCTAAGGAGCTGGAATAATGAGAGCAGTCTTCTAAGAAGGATACTGAGGACATTGTGTGGGAGAAACATCTCCTTCGTCATGATAAGATGGTACAGCCTTGGACACAACAAGCCAGACAGGACCTGTTGCACCTGCTTTCAATAGATCTGAGTTGAGTGAAGTTGCCATTCACTGAGTGTAAATTCATTGCTTCTCAAAAGTAAGCAAACCTTGCCATGTTTGACTTTTATAAAGAAGGAAGGTCATTGTTGAAGCAGCTGAAGTTGGGGAGGGGCCACTACCTTGAGGAACTCCAGAATCTTCTGGAGCTGAGATGACTGACCTTCAATAATCACAACTATCTTCTTTTGTTCAGATCTGAGACTGCGAGTTTCCCCCGATTCCCATTGGCTCTTAGTTTTGCTAGGGCTTCTTCATACCACATCAGTCAAGTACTGCTTTGATGTCTAGGGCAGTCATTTTCACCTCCTGGTGTTCAGCTCTTTTGTCCATGTTTAAACCAAGCCTGTAATGAGGTCAGGAGTTGAGTAGTCTAGGCGGAACACAAACTGAGTGCCAGTGAGCAGGTAATTGCTACGTGAATGCTGCTCTATTACCACTGTTGATGATCCCTTCTGTCCCTTTACTGATGATCAAGAGTGGACTGATGGAATGGTAATTGTCTGGGTTGGATTTGTCTTGCTTTCAATGTATAGTAATATCTGGGCAGGTTTCCAGGTTGACAGGTAGATGAGAATGTCATTGCTATACAGGGACATATTTACTAGGGGCATGGCAAATTCTAGAGCACAAGGCTTCAGTACTATAGCTGGAATGTTGTCTGTTCCCATAGCTTTTGCAGTATCCTGTGCCTTCAGTTATTTTTTTGATATCACATGTAGAGAATCAAAGTGGTTGAATATGGGCATCTGTGATGCTGGGGACTTCCAGACGAAGCCAATTTAGATCATCCTCATGGCACTTCTGGCTGAAAATTGTTGCAAATGCTTCAGCCTTGTCTTTTATCTTTCGCAGCCTGAGCACCCCATCATTAAGGATGGAGATGTTTCTGGATTTCTCCTCCAGTGAGTTATTCATTTGCCCACAACCATTCGTGACTGCTTATGACAAGACTGCAGAACTTAAATCTTTAATCAGCAAATATTAATGATATATTTAAATGTGGAAATTATTTACTACAGAGGATATGATGTGTGCATTATGTGATTGTCATTTGCTTCTTATCCTTTTAGGCTGAAGAATCATGCAAGTGCAATGGCTGGAAGAATCCAAAGCCCCCTCCGACTCCTCCAAGAGTAAGCCTCCAACAGACAACCGTCAGTCTTACAGAACTCTGTCGGAGCTGTAATCATACACTCAGTAAGTATGGAGCTTTCTCCTGCTCACTTTCTGGTTCAAGATGAAAAACACAGATTACCATTTTCATTCAAGGTTGTTTAATTCAAAGGATCTGAGAATTTCAATCTATCACTGTTCCATTTATTATTACCAAGAAAATATTCTCGGAAATGTTACTCAAAAGGGTAAATTTAATTCACAGTTCAGCTGTCTTTGTAGATGTTTACCACGCCTTTATTTAGTAGGCAAATTGCTAGATATTTGCCAATTAACTCATTCAGAGATGCTATTACACACCTCTGAAAGAGATAGGAATAGATTGATAAATAGATTGAAACCAGGCCTCCTGGCTCAGAGGTAGGGACACTATCATGACAGTAGAAGAGCCCTCTCCTACTGGACCTGGTATTCCCAGGTGATCTCCTGTTCAGGTACTAACAATTTCTGAGTCTGCTTATCTTCCAAGATCAGATGAGATTAGGCATTTTCACACTAGTATGGCCATAGGCACTATATCCCCAAAGATTGGGGCCCTGTAAATTCATTGTTTCTCAAAAGTAAGCAAACCTTCCCACATTTGACCTTTATGATGGAGGGAAGGTCATTGGTGAAGCAGCTGCAGATGGTTGGGCCACTACCCTGAGGAACTCCAGAATATTCTGGAGCTGAGATGACTGTCTTCTTTTGTTCAGGTCTGACTCTATCTTCTGGAGAGTTACTAAGTTGAAATTGTTGCTTCCTCTAATATTGAGTGAATCTTGGTTTTGTATTTTTGTTTTTCACTATGTGACATTCCTGTGGTAACAAAATACTTCATCTGGGATATGAGTAGAAAGGCAGATAATTAATCAGTACAACTCAGTCACTTAACACCCCCAGAATCTCAAGTGTCGACAGCTCACGGTCTTCATGTCTAACTTTATTTGCAAAATCTGAGACACAATTTAGGTGCAATTCAATTTTAATATGAAGAATCACAGGAGCAAACATAATTTTAAAGTCAGGAGAGTGTTAAAATATATCTAAGCCCACCAGCATCCTTTACTAATACTGTCAAAAAATCACATGACACCAGGTTACAGTCCAACAGGTTCATTTGAAAACACAAGCTTTCGGAGTCTCGCTCCTTCTTCAGGTGTTAGTAAGAGAAGTGGCATCAGACACAGAATTTATAAGCAAAAGATCAAAGAGTCACTGAACTGTTGCGAATGTATTGAGCAAGCCTAAGATAGCTGTTAAATCCTTAATCAGTCAGAAAGGAGATGCAGATTTCGATTGATTAATATGCAAATCCCAAACTTTCTTTCAAGTCACTGCCCTGAAATAACTAAAGGTTTTATCAGCATACCAGAAGTGACCTGTCAGGTCAGACAATGCATTTTTGGTGTGAGGCTATGTTTATTCTAAAAACATAGACACATGGAAGATAGGAACAAAATGGGGCCATTCAGTCCTTCAAGCCTGCTCTGCCATTCTTCACGATCATGGCTGATCATCCAACTCAATAGCCTAATCCTGCTTTCTTCCCATAACCTTTGATCCCATTCGCCCCAAGTGCTATACTAGTCACCTCTTGAATACATTCAATGTTTTAAGATCAACTACTTCCTGTGGTAGTGAATTCCACAAGCTCACCACTCTTTGGATGAAGAAATGTCACCTTATCTCTGTCCTAAAACGTCTACCCCGAATCCTCATACTGTGATCCCTGGTTCTGGACACACCCACTATTGGGAACATCCTCCCTGCATCTACCCTGTCCAGTCCTGTTAGAATTTTAAAAGTCTCTATGAGATCCCCCCTCATTTGTCTGAACTCTAGCATAAACAATCCTAATCTAGTCAATTTCTTCTCATACATCAGTCCAGCCATCCCTGCCATCCCCAGAATCAGCCTGGTAAACCTTTGCTGCACTCCCTCGAGAGCAAGAGCGTCCTTTCTCAGAAAAGGAGACCAAAACTGCACACAATACTCTAGGTGTGGCCTCACCAAGGCCCTGTAAAGCTGGAACAACACATTCCTGCTCCTGTATTCAAAACCTCTTGCAATGAAGGCCAACATACCATTTGCCACCTTTACCACCTGCTGCATCTGCATACTTACCTTCAGAGACCGGTGCACAAGGACACCCAAGTCTGGCTGCATACTGCCCTCTCCCAATTTACAACCATTCAGGTAGTAATCTGCCTTCTTGTTTTTTTTCCCGAAGTGAATAATCTCACATTTATAAAATTATACTGCATCAGCCATTGATTTGCCCACTCACCCAACCTGTCGAGATTATGCTGAAGGATCTCTGCATCCTCGCCACAGTTCACCCTCCCACCCAACTTGGTATCGTCCGCAAACTTGGAGATGTCACTTTTTGTTCCCTCATCCATGTCACTAATATATATTGTGAATAGCTGGGGTCTGAGCACCAATCCCTGTGGCACCCCACTAGTTACTGCCTGTCAATTTGAAAAGGATCCATTAATTCCTACTCTTTGTTTCCTCTCTGTCAACTAGTTTTTTTATCCGTCTCGATACACTTTCCCCAATCCCATGCGCTTTAATCTTGCACATGAATCTCTTATGTGAGACTTTGCCAAATGCTTCCTGAAAGTCCAAATATACTACATTGACTGACTGGCTCCCCCTTGTAACTAGTAGAGTTGACATTTTCAAAGAATTCCAACAGATTTGTTAAGCATGATTTCCCCTTCATAAATCCATACTGACTCTGTCTGATCCTGCCACTGCTTTCTAAATGCTCTGCTATAAAATCCTTGACAATGGAGTCAAGAATATTCCCGACTATTGATGTTAGGCTCATCAGTCTATAATCCCCTGTTTTCTCTCTACCTCCCTTTTTGAATAGTGGACTGACATTAGCCACCCTCCCATCTGCAGGCACTGTTCCAGAGTCTATAGAATCTTGGAAGATGACCATTAATGTATCCACTGTTTCTAGAGACACTATCTTAAATATACTGGGATGTAGATTATCAGGCCCTGGGGATTTAAAAAACCTTTAATTCAATCAATTTTCCCAGCACCACTTCTTTACTAATATTGATCTCCCTCAGTTCTCCCCTCTCACTAAATTTTGCATCCTCCAACAATTCTGCTATCTTATTTGTGTCCTCTTTTGTGAAGACAGAACCAAAGTATGTATTCAGTTTCTCAGCCATTTCTTCATCCCCTATTATACATTCCCCCATTTGTGTCTGTAGGGGATCTACATTTGTCTTTTACCAATCTCTTTTTCTTCACATTGAATCTGTTTGTGTTTTAAATTGGAGTCAGACTGGTTTTATTTACAAAATAGGAATTTACAAAATGTCACATTGTCTACAAATTGAGTGCTTTTTGAACAAAATAGAATATATCTGCAATTACAAATCTTCACATACATAAATCTATGCAGTGAATTTGTGTGTGTGTGTGTGTGTTGGAGGGTGGGGTGGTGGTGGTGTTGGGGAACAGAGTATATAGTGCGGCCGGATCACCTGTAGACATGAACCCAAGATCCTGGTTGAGGCTGTCCTCATGGGTGTGGAACTTGGCTATCAGCCTCTGCTCGGTGACTCCACATTGTTATGTATCCCAAAGTCTGCCTTAGAGGATATTTACACACACACTTACATAGACCCCTCTTATACACAAACTGTCTCTCACACAGACACTCACATGCACACACAGACTGAGAGTGTGTTGTGTGTGTGAGAGCAGTCAAGGGCATTCGGCCTCGAATTTTCAGCTAACCGTCCTCCAAGGCAGACTTCAGGATATGTAACAATGCAGAGTCACCGAGCAGAGGCTGATAGCCAAGTTCGGTACCCAAGAGGATGGCGTCAACCGGGATCTTGGATTCATGTCACTTTACAGGTGAGGCCACCACATTATACGCTCTCACATACGCACACACTCTCACGCACACATACACTCATGCAGTTAGACCGTCTCTCAATCACACACACACATACACGCTCTCGCTTTCTCTCTCTCTCTTCCAACCCCTCTCTCTCTATTTCCCCCTTCCTCTCACACACACTCTCTCTCCCACTCACTCACTCACTCACTCACTCTCACACACAACACACACTCTCTTTCCCTGTCTCTCTCTTCCCCCATCCCACACATACACACGTAAATCTATGCAGTGAATTTGCATTTGCAGATTTGTAATTGCAGAAACATTCTATTTTGTTCAAAAAGCACACAATTTGTAGACAGTAAATGTGGCATTTTATAAATTCCAACCTTGGAAATAAAAGCAGAAGTTAAAACACAGATTCTAAACAAGTCCTCACACCTAAAACGCATTGTCTGACCTGAGATGTCACCTCTGGTATACGAGGGAACTAATAAAACCTTTAGTTATCTCGGGGCAGTGACTTGAAAGAAATTGTAGGATTTGCATGTTAATCAATCGAAACCTGCACCTCCTTTCTAACTGATTAAAGATTTAACAGCTCGATTTAGGCTTGTTCAATACATTCGTATCAGTTCTATGGTCCTTTGATCTTTTGCTTATAAATTTTGTGCCTGACACCACCTGTCTCACTAACACCTGAACAAGAAGCTATAAACTGGTGTCATGTGATTTTTGACCTTGTCTACCCCAGTCCAACACCGGCACCTTCACATCATTACTAATACTGGGATTGAGAAATGATCAGCGAGGACAAAAAGAAGGGATATGTAGGGGCAGCTATGAATACTTAGACGAACAGTAATGGAACCCAGGTGTCTGCTAAAATTAACCTGACCCTATGTCTGTTGCAAGAGGAATTTTCCTCTTTATCATTCAACAACACCAACCGTTGAGTTAGTACTGCAGAATATGCAAGAGGATCCAGTAAGTTCACAGGTCACAATTGACTGATTGTGTCTGCACATGCAAAAATCCTGTACTACATGATAGTTGCAGGTATCCTTCTTACCCTCTACCAGTCTTTTTCTGAAAAGGCCTGTGTCCTGTTAGGTCCACCAAAACTGACATTAATGTTTAGTGGCATTTGGTAGGTATGCCCGAATAGACAACATTTGCCTGGAATGTAGGACCATGTAGCTGTGATTAGTAGGTCTCTGTGGGAAAAAAAATAGAGTTATCCAGCATAAGATTTAGACAGGTATTTGTAGCTCAAGGTGTGCAGTTCAGCAGTCTGCTGTCACACCTCACATTGCAAAGAGGAGTCTTCTGCTTCAGCAACACTATTCTATTGTTGACAGGGCCAAGAGCATCTTGTGGTCATCCTAACTGATGGACCTCTCTTCCTCCAAGCACTTCAAAATGTTCACAATAGCAAATGTTGATGCCACTAAAGATAGCAACACAATATTCTGCATTCTGTTCTATTACCTTTGATGTACTTGTATAAAGTATGATTTGTCTGGATAGTACACAAAATGGTAACTTCTCATTGTGTTTCAGTACACATGACAATAATAAATCAAATCAAATCAAAAATATTTAAACCTGATTAAGGCTGATGAAAACTTAAACACTAGCTGGGAACAAAAAAAAAAGTAGAGGGAAAATAGAAGGCCTAAGGCATTTACCTTAATAATATGTCGACCCTCAAAATGCTTGTTTATCTGCAGACCCACCTGAAGTCTTATCCTCCATCAATTTCCGTTGCTGTGCTAGAGATTCAACACTCAGAGTTCTCCTGGAGTTTGTACATATGCCCCCTTTAAAAAGTAATAAATCTCCTACCTGTTTCCAGCACCAGACTCGGATAATTATCATACGCCTGACAAGTTAGAGTTTGTGATAACTGAATGGGAATACAAGCTGATAAATTAGGAACAGAAGTAGGCTACCTGGCTCTCCAAGCCTGCTGTATCATTCAATCTGATTGCTCCATATTCATTCCTACCTCCATGACTTTCCTTATCAAGAATGTAACTCTTTTGCCTTAAAAATATTCAAGTGCTCTGCTTTTACCAGGTTTTGAATATTCCAAAGAATCCAATGGTACTCTATCCTGTCAGATTTTTGTTCCTTTCTGTCTTGCTACCAACAAAAATCAGGGTGGCAGTGGAATGACAAATACCCCCTGTTGATTTCATAACTAAATTCAGTCTGCATTTCTAGCCTGTTTTGATCACTTACCAACTCTTACTCTTCTAGTAGTTTTGTTGAGGGGAATTCCTAATATTGCTGATTTTTTTTATATTTGTTTGCACCTCGCCATTTACATTTGTAAGCCTTCTTGATTTACATTAGTGAAATCACTTAGTAGGAAAATCGAGAGCTCCAGTATGTTTGCAAAATGTGCTTCAAAGTTGTATGGCCAGGAACTGATTGTGGGCTGCTTCATTTTCTTTATTGGGTTGGTGGCCTTGTGATTTTGTTTTTAATGGTGTTGTGTAGGATTTGTGAACCCAATGCTGCAATTTCTTTGTTTACCCAGAGGGAAGTGAAATCCTGTTAAAGTTGAAATGAGGAACCAAAAACAAATGTTGTTCTGTTGTGTTTATCAGCTGATCACGTTTCCAATTTGGAAAATGTATCCGAAGAAGAAATGAACAGGCTACTTGGAATAGTACTAGATGTGGAGTACTTATTTACCTGTGTCCACAAAGAAGAAGATGCAGACACAAAGCAAGTTTATTTTTACCTATTCAAAGTAAGTATAAGGGTAGATAATTTTCCAATGGTCCTAATCATTTTAAATCCTTGACAGTTAAGAAGGTACCTCATTCTAATAAAAGTTTTGCTCAGATAACAATTATTGATTTTAGAAATGTTTTCAATACAAACTGTTAAATAATCTCCACTAAATAGAATTCTGAGAGCTGCTTGAGGGGCTAGCAACATGCTCACCAGTAGTATGTGTTTGGTACCTATCTTTGTGACATGTATTTAATTTTTCCTTCAGTTATTGCCAGGTCTGCCTTAGCTTCAAGGAGCCAAATATTCACAAAAGAAACTTGAAATAAATTGCTATAATTAGTCACAGTATAAGTAGAAAATAACATGGTTATCTACAGAATGGTTAAACGTATTTATGACTTGCCATATGTAACTCAAACTTAATGTCAAGGCACACCAGTTAGGGTTTCCACTTTGGATGCACTCAGCATTTTGGATGTAAATTACATTCAAAATTACTCCAATCTTTGAATTGAATTCTGCTCAAACTCACTTGTGCATCATAGAATGTAAAATCTTATGTGATTGGTGCAATCAGATTTCATTTCAGGACATTATTTTTCACATGCCATTTTTAAAAAATAATCTTTAGTATATGGTGTCAGATTTTTGCTCCAAAGAAAGATAGTGAAAGTTGGGAAACTGCTCAGCTTGCTAAACGCAGGCTTGAAGAAAATGCCCCTTCGGACCTGAAATTTACTTTAGGGTGCAGTTACAGGATTGAGTTGAGCCAACTTCCCTGTAGATACAGATTGGAAGGGCTGCTGGGTACTCAGACAGGATGTTAAAAAGGCCCATGTTGTTCTCTGGGACTTTGTCACTGTTTTTTGTTCAATGTTAGGCCTTCTAATCTCACCCCCCACAACACATCACTAACCCCCAACACAAATTGTCCTTCAAAATTTCTATGGTGCGTGGACCTCTGAGGTCCATGCGCAGCAGCAACTTGTGAACCCAGAAGTCAAGGTGTCACCACAACATGACTAGTGTGCATGGAACCTCAGAGCAGCCATGCAGCTTAGAAGGAGCCCTTCCCATCACTCCCCATGCCACATCCATGTCAGCTCTTGCCTCCGCCCAACGCATGGCACGCATCACTCATGCCAACTTAATGCCAACAAATGACATCCCCCATCAACCACTCTTTGCCCTTTCTCCCTGTATGTCAATATACACAGTATCCATCATTTGCAGGCCTTGAGCCACATGGAGATTATATATAATAAATAAATATTACAGCTTTTGCATGTCATGAAAAAAGCCTGAAAGGCTGTTCAAATTTAAAACAAAATCAAGTACACAATCCCTTATAAAACATACAGATTTGTATTCATAAACTCATGTCAAAGATAATTATTAATTTACTGGCCTGTTTGATGCTGAGGTTGTGACAAGCTTTGTGGGTGAGGCTACATCTCATTGTGAAGAATAATGGAAACCATCAGTAGCTATTTATTAAACCAGTAGGCGGAACCCAAGTGGAACCTCAGTGAACAGGTTTAGTGAGTGCTTCTTGACAGCATTGTCAGTGATCCCAGTCATCACTTTGATGATTGAAAGTGGATTGGTGGGGTGTTAGTTACCCTGTGTTTTGTGTACAGGACATACCCCGTCAACTTTTCACATTGCTGGGTAAATGCTAGTCTTTTAACCAGAGCACAAGCTTTCAGTACTAGTGCTGGGGTATAGTTAGTTCCTGCAGCCTTTGCCATAACCAGTGCCTTTAGCTGTCTTTTGATATCGTCTGGAGTGAGTCAAATTGTCTGAAGTCTAACACCTGTGATGCCAGGGACCTTAGGAGGAGGCTGAAATGCACTGTTAATGCGACACTTCTGGCTGAGGGTGGCTGTATATGCTTTAACCTTGACTTTTGCACTTATGCTGGGGTCCACTGTCATTGAGAATGGGGCTATTTGTGGAGCCTTCTCCTCTTGTTCACCACCATTTATCATTGAATGTGGCGGGGTTGGAGAGCTTAGCTCTGATCCATTGGTTATTGGATCACCTAGCTTTGACCGCTTAATGCTGCTTACACTGGTTGGCATACAAGTTGTCCTGTGTTGCATCTTGATCAGGATGGCACCTCATTTTTAGGTATGTCTGCTGCTATTTCCCGGCATGCCCTCCTGCATAATTTTATTCATCCATTGTTGGTCCCCTTGCTTGGTGGTAATGGGGATATGATGGGCGATGAGTTTGCATATTGTGGTTGAATTTATACATGCTGCTGTTGGCCCACAACACAGATGCATCCGCTACATCTGGATCAGTAAGGATAAAGTACAAGAGTGTCCTTCCTCTTGTTGGTTCCCTCATCACTTACCAACAGCCCAACCAATTAAGTATGTCCTTCATGACTCAGCCAGCCTGGTCTGTAGTGGCGTTAACAAGTCACTCTTGGTGTTGGAGATTGAAGTCTCCTACTCAGGGTACAATTTGTGTAATTTCCACCCTCAGTGCATCTTCCAACATGGAGGAGAACATGATGGGCGCATGATATGTCATAATCAGCATGAGGTCTCCTTGCCTGTGTTTGACATGATTAGTGAAACGTGTCATGAGTCAATGTTGAGGACCCCCAGGGCAACTCCTTCCTAACTGCGTACTATTGTGCCACTATCTCTGGGTTTTTTGAGTTGTCCAGGGATGGTGATGCTGGTGTCTAGGACATTATCTGTAAGGTCTGATTCTGTGACAATGACTGCATCAGGCACTCAATTGACTGGTTTGTAGGACAGCTGTCCCAATTTTGACACAAAGGAGAATTTTGCAGAGTCATGCGCAATGTCTAGATAAATGCCTCCCAGATTGCCTTGATCCTCTACAATTCGCCTACCATCACAGTAGTTCTGCGGCAGACACCATCTCTTTGGTCCTACACTCAACCCTGGAACATCTGGATGACAAGGACATCTACATCAAATGCCTATTTATTGACTTTAGCTCTGCCTTCAACAGTATAATTCCAACAAAACTCATCTCCAAACTCTGAGACCTAGGATTCTGCTCTGCCCCTCTGCAACTGGATCCTCAACTTCCTGACCCACAGACTGCAATCACTAAAGAGAGGTAACAACAGTTCCTCCACAATAATCCTCAATGCTGATGCTGTGCAAGGCTGCATACCCAGCCCCTTACTATATTCCTCATATACCCATGACGCTGTGTGGCCAAATTCAGCTTTAACTCCATTTACAAATTTGCTCATGACACCACCATAGTAGGCCAGATCTCAAACAACAAGACAGCGTACAGGAAAGTGATAGATAGCTTACTGGCATAGTGTAATGACAACGATTTCTCCCTCAATGTCAGCAAAATGAAGGAACTGGTCATTGACTTCAGGAAGTGGAGTGGACGACATGCCCCTGTCCATATCATTGATGCTGAGCTTCAAGTTCCTTGGAGTTAATAACACCAACAATCTATCCTGATTCATCCACGTCAACAGTCAAAAAAGGACACAAATGCCTCTGTATCCTCAGAAGGCTAAGGAAATTCAGCATGTCCACAAGGACTCTTACCAATTCTTACAGATGCACCACAGAAAGCATCCTATCCTGATACATACAGCTGGGATCACAACCGCTCTGCCGAAGAAATTACAGAGAGTTGTGAATGCAGCCCCGTCCATCTCGAAAAACAGCCTTCCTTCCATTGACTCCGTCTACACTTCCAGCTGTCTCGGGAAAGCAGGTGTCATAAATAAAGACCCCTCCTACCCCAGTTACACTCCCTTCCACCCTCTTCTGTTGGGCAGAAGATACAAAAGTTTGAAAACTTGTATGAACAGATTTAAGAATAGCTTCTTCCCTGCTGTTATCAGACTTATGAATGAACCTCTCACACATTAGAGTTGATCTTTCTCTGCACCTTCTCTAAAGCTGTAACACTGTATTCTGCATCCTATTCTATTAACCTGATGTACTTATGGTATGATTTGTCTGGTTAGCAAGCAAAACAATAGTTTTCACTGTGTCTCAGTACATGTAACAATAATAAATCAAATCAAATGCCAGGTGGTCTGTCCAGTTTCATTTCTTTTATCAGACATGAGTGACTTGCTAGGTCATTTAAGAGTCAAAGACATTGATATGGATCATGATTCCTTCCTTAAAGGAAACAAATGGGTTGTCACCATTTGTCAGCTTTTAATTCCAGCTTTATTAATTGAATTCAAATTTTACCATCTGCCATGGTAGGAATCTACCTGTGCCCAGAGCAAGTTGCTAGTTAATTGACAGTGCTACAATGCCACCTCCTCCCCATATCGCATATGAATAGCAAGTAACCATGTTGTCTCTACTATTTTGTTACAGGTTCTTTGTAATCTGTATTTTCCATCTGTATATTTATAAAAAGATTTTAATTTCACTGCAGTTTTTCTGGATGTATTGGTGAAGCTTTGGATTGCTCCTATGTGGCAATACTTGTTGGTTATATTTATATTACTTGTTGGTTACATATAAATATGTAAGGTATGATTCTCTGAAAATGAATCCTTTGAAATACCAGCAAACATTTTATTAACCAGCACCAATGGGTCCAGGAGTGAGCTGATTGATCAAATATCCTGGTTGATCAAGAGTTCCCCATAATCAATGTAAAAACACTCACTAAGTAATACAACTGTAATGCAGTGGGTATACACATCACTGTTATACTTTATTTACAGCATAAATCACGTAAATAATCATGCAACTTTGCCCTAAATAAAACTCACCGGCAGAGAGCCTTTTCACCTGAACCCTCGACTATCACAGAGATCGTGATAATACAGTAAACTTCCAATATTTGACAATTTTTGCTTGTTCATCGAGAATGTGGGTTCATAAGCTTCCAGTTAAAACAAATTTTTCTCTACTTAAACTGTTTATTTATTTTTAGAAATGTCTTGACTGTTATGGCATCCTTATTTACTCCTGATCTTTTTACCTGCAGAGCTGGCCTGTGTACACATGACAGTTACCATACAGTTCGCAAATACATTATTGTCCTCTGGAACACTGCTTATGTTCCAAATTGATGAACAAAACTATACCAAAATTGAAATGCTTCTGTATGTTGCCTGTGAGATGGTGCAGATTGAATGAACCAAGAGGAGGTGATTGAGGTAGAAGTAATTGAGGGACAGGAATATGGAATTTGAAGTGGGGGTAGGTAAGCATGCTTAGAGGGGACCAGGGAGAAAAGACTGGTTCAAAGTTAGCACGGATAATGTTTATATATTTTTACAACGAGTTTACATTGTAAATCTATATAAAATATTCCATATATTCAATAAATTTTTTTATTTTTCAAAAGTTTGAGCATGAATAATTAAGTTTGAATTGACACATAAACAACCAAAAATGAAGTTGGCACACTTTAGCCTTAGCATTAGTATTACGTGTAGCATAAAATAACACTCCGTTCCCTTTATAAGATAGAGTGGCTAGTTAAAAAAAAAATTCTATTTCAGTTGCTACAAGCTAGATTTATAGCCAAACATGTTGTTAGTTTCATGTCAGTCCTGCTTTACGCTGTACAGTATGAGATCAAACCTAGGATCTTCCTGTTTCAGTATGACTACAAATAGCATATTTATCAACTGAGAGATTAGATATACCTAGAACTGTGCAGTTTTTGTAGCAGTATGGAATTTGCTATTGTACAAGGCTCTGTGTTTAACATTGTTTGATTTTGTATCCTGCTAAAGTTCTGTAGTGGTTCTCAGTTTATTTCCTTCCCATTTTTGCTGCACCCTGGCCTTTGATAATATTTTCCCAAAACATTTATCATTTGCTCTGACACTAAAATGCACTCCAAAAGGGATAAACTATCTTCATACCAACTCATGCTTCTTTTTCCTCTCTGGACTCATTTTATTTTTAATTACGTTTACAGCTTTTGAGAAAATGTATTTTACAAATGGGGAATCCTGTAGTGGAAGGACCGTTAGGAAGCCCACCTTTTGAGAAACCCAGCATTGAACAGGTAAAGTGAATAAAGCTATCTCCACTCTGTAGATTGAGCTTTACAAGTCTACTGATGTTGATCCAACATGGTTAAAGCACAAAGTCATCATTCTTGTGCTATTCACAGCAAAAACCCTTCAGCAATAAGCATTGTTAAAACAGTTTGGTTCTAAAACAACAATTTGCACAAAAATAAGAACTGGGGAATGGGAGAGACTATTTCTGCTGAGACTTAGTTTAGTAAAATGCAAACTAAAAGTCTGTTCGATGTTTATTTTTGAACTTTTTGTTTTTTAAGTATGTTACCTGGTGTTCTTCTAAAGCTACCACTTGCTCCTAAATATTTAATTCATGCTTTATTCCTCTGCTGTATAAGCATAGCCAAAATAATGGCATTGTGATAATATCAGTGCACTAGTAATCCAAATCTCAACATCGCACTTGGTGGAATTTAAATTCAATTAATAAATCTGTAGAGCCAAACTCTTCTCACTAGTGATGACCATGAAACTATCACCACTTGTGTGGTATAAAAACTCATTTAATGCTCTTTAGAGAAGGAAGTCTATTTACTCAGTATGGCTAGGTGCTGTAGACCCACAGTAATAGTTGACATTTAATTGTCCTCTGAAACAGCCCAGTTTAGGATGGGCAGTAAATGCTGGCTTTGCCAGCGACACCTACAGTCAGTCGTACAGTTTTATAAAAGAGATTATAAGAAAATGTTTACATTGTCACATTTTTTTTGGAAGCTGGGAGAAATAAAATTCCTGAGTACAATGTTTCATCTGTCTCTGGGGCTAGCACGACAAGTAAGGATTGGGAATCATGCTGTACAGTAGATCAGAGTTGAAAAGTGGCAATGGACTACAAAAATGTGTAAGATGAGGAGTAGGCTATTCATCACTTTTTCCACCATTTACTTTAGTAATGAATGAGTCGTCTTGCAATTATATTTTCACACTGTTGCCCCATTGCACACAATACTCTTGCCTAACAAAATCTGTTGTTTCCATTTTGAAAATTTCAATTGATCTACATCTTTTGAGTAGACAGTCCCAGATCACGACTGCAATTTTGGATACAATATCAATTATATCAATTCACGATAACATGGCTGTATTGGTATTCTGGACTCCCCTATTTACCATGCTGGTGATCATCTCAAAAAATGAAATTAGAATGACTACACCTGAGGTTTCTTGATCAGCTCTGATTTGTTTCAGGTGCTTAGTCACTGTGATTACATTTGGGAATAAGCGAATATATTTGTAAAGACGTTCCTCAGGAGATTATGTAGGGAAGAATTCATATTACAGTATAAAACATAAGTGGCCCTAAAATGTGCGCAATATCTACTTGTTTTATGAAGGTCCATGGTGTGTATCTCAGATGGATCAATTGCTTGAGCAGAAGTACCTACCCAGAAAGTTTAGTTTCTAAATTAAATCAGTCTTCATTTTCTCTAACTCCCTCATCCTTTATACTTGGGAATATACATATGAGGGGAGATTTAAATATAAAAATTTAGATGAGAAATTAATTCTAATAATGTAGTTATCATGATAAGTGAAATTTCTAGAGTTCTGTTTGGCTGTATTTAGGAATCAAGAATTCTTTATTCCAGAACTTTCCCTTGAGGATTGCAATTGTTTTGATACCAGCATATAAGCATTAAGAGTTCTTGTCTGAAACAGAGGCATTAACCCAATTAATTTAAGCTGGCTAATACCTTGGATATGTGAGTGGTTGTATACTCACTCCATTAGCAAATAGGTATTTCGTTTCTACATGGTTTGGGGAAGACTGGATTTTCCACATTGTTTGCATTTTCTTTCTGAACATAAAGTCGTGAAGCTCTCCTTTATTGTCCTTTTCTTCGCGATCTGTTTCAGCATGCAAAAATGATACTGTTCCCTAATGTGAATTTATGAGTTGGCTTGAGTTGACATGTAGAAATAAATACTATACCTTGAACTGACTTGTCATTGCATGCTACATGGAGCTGTATGAGTTTGTTTTTAATATGCACTTTACATTTGCTTTTTCTTTATTTAGGGAGTTAATAACTTTGTACAGTACAAGTTTAGTCACCTTCCACCAAAAGAAAGGCAAACAATTTGTGAACTGTCCAAAATGTTTCTGAATCGAATCAACTACTGGCAGCTGGAAACTCCCTCACAACGGAGGCTTCGGTCACCAAATGATGATGGTGCTGGATACAAAGTTAATTATACAAGGTATTAAATAGACCATTCACATGACCATAAAACCCCTGAATGAAGTGAGACTTGATGTCAACAATGCTCCAACTTTTATTTCCTTAAAACCTCTTGTGACCTTTTTAGTCGTATTTATTGTCTGGTTACAACATTTGTATTGTATCATTAACTTGGCCTTTTTGTATAAGGTTTAGTAAGTGGGATAGTTTGATGATTCTGAGACTGTGGGTGAGGTCAAGGGTTGCAAAGAAATATGAGGAAATGAATATATCTCATTATGAAATGCATTTAAGTTCAGTTCACAGAAGTTCCACAAGTTTAATGGGGGGAAAACAGAATTAACGTTTTGATTTCAATGACGTCATCGGCATGAAGGGACACTGGACTCAAAACGTTAGCTCTCTTTGTCCTTCTACAGTTGCTGCTAGACCTGCTGAGTTTCTCCAGCAGTTTCTGTTTTAGTTTCAGATTTCCAGCAGCTGCAGTTCTTTGTTTTTATTGTCCACAAGTTTAATAGCATGCATATAGTGGAATTACTTGGAATATACAAATTGAGAGCGCTGGAGAACCATAGCTTTTTAATAAGTATAAAGGCTGGGATATGGACTATGCCAAGTTTAGCATACATGAGCAGATAACTATGCATTCAAGCCACACAGATTCTATACTTTAGTTACAGAGGAGCAGAAAAGTCAACATTGCTGCTCCTCTAGTGCTGTCTGATCTGCTGTGTTTTTCCAGCCTCGTACCTATAGAGTCTGGCTTCCAGCATCTGCAGTCCTTATTATCTCCAAACTTTAGTTAGCCTGTTCTTTTAAAAACTGAATGTAATAAGATGAAAGTTTTCCATGGGTTGAAATTTCCTACTGGATTATTTACAAAAATACATTAACTAAGTTATAATAAATGACCACTAAGGATTACCATTCCCCAGCTATAAAGTTATTATTGAGCAGGAATATCAAGGTCATCATAATTAAAGCAAAATACTATGGATGCTGGAAATCTGAAATAGAGAAAAGAAAATGCTGGAGAAGCTCAACGGGGTTCAAAAGCATAGTTTATTTTTGGCGTTTAGTTCAGTGACTTGTGCTAAATGACTAGACAAACTATCTGGTGAGGTAGTTGTTGAAGTATTTAAGTTAAGATTTCACGGCCCAGAGAAAGAGAGGTCAAAGGCCAGAACCAGATTAACTTTGGAAGAAAAGATCCACACCAGCAGATGTGCTGTTTAGTTGCCTCAAAGTAATCAAAGTAACTGGGAAACACTTGAGTATTTTCCTTAAAATTAGTAAGAGATGTCATTGAGTTAGCGTTTGGTTGTGTGTTTTGGGGAGAAACGGAGAGAATCACTCCTGGTGAATATGTAGAAATTCACCAAAAGACAATCCTTGTCAGTAGTCTAAGAAATTAAGATGGGAGTGATACTTCACTGGGATTTAGTATCTGTCAAGGATATTTCTAGGAAAAGGGTAGAAATTTTCGGTGTTTTTTATCTTTCTAAATTATAAAGATATATTTTTCTTTCTTTTCATTTGTGCAATAAGCTTGAGTTCTTTTGTTTAAAAGTACTTTTTAAATTCTTTAATGGAATATGGGCTTTTCAAACTGGATCAGCATTTATTATCCATCTGTAACATTCCTGGAGAAAACAATGGTGAGCTGCCTTCTTAAACTGCTACAGCCCATTTGATTTAGGTATACTTACAATGCTTTTAGGGAATGAGTTACAGGTTTTTGTCCAACAATAGTGAAGGAATAGCAATATATTTCCAAACCACGATGTGTTGAGTGGCATGGAGAGGAGAGGATGTTGAGAGTGGGAGATTCAACAGTGGTACTACCATTGAATGTCACGAGATGATGGTTAGTTTCTCTCTTGGATATGGTCATTGCCTGGTATTATCCAGATCTGGATATTGTCCTGGTCCTATTGCATTGACATGAGCAGTTTGGTATCTGAGGTGTCTCAAATGGCGCTGAACGCGGCCAATCACTAGCCAATACTCCAATTTCTTGCCTTATGGAGAAGGGAAGGTCTTTGATGAAGCAGCTGAAGATGGTTGGGCCTAGGACACTACCCTGAGGAACATCTCCTGTTTTTGTGCTTCGATGATAGACCCCAAAATTTACAACCATCTTCCTGTTTGCCAGGTATGATTCCAACGAGTAGAAAGTTTTCCCTAGATTCCCATTGACTGCAGATTTCATTGGGCTTCTTGATGCCACGCTCATCTCTTTTCTTGAGCTTAGCACTTTTGTCTTTGTTTGTACCAAGGTTGTTCTGAATTTAGGAGCTGAATGGTCATAATGGAACCTGACCTGAGCATCAATGAGTAGGTTATTGCTGAGCATGTGCTGCTACATGACGCTCGTCATCACTTGACTGATGATAGAGAGTAGACAGATTTGGTCGTAATTGGCCAGGTCGGATTTGTCTTGATTTTTTGTGCTCAGGATATACCTGTATTGTAGGTATAGAGGAACAGCTTGGCTACGGACCCAGCAAATTCTTGAGCACAAATCTATTAGTGGAATATTATCACGGGCCACAGCCTTTGCAGTAACGAGTGCCTTTAGCCATTTCTGATAGCGTGTGTAATGAATTGGCTGATGATAGGCATCGGTGAGCCTGGGGACATCTGAAGGAACCTGAGATGGATTGTCCACTCGGCACTTCTGGCAGAAGATTATTGCAAATACTTCAGCTTTATCTTTTGCACTGATGTGCTGAACTCCCTTGTCATTGAGGATGGCGATATTTGTGGAGCCTCTTCCTTCTGTTAGTGGTTTAATTTTTTTTAACCACCATTCATGACTGGATATGACATGATTGCAGAGCTTGGATTTGATCTGTTGGATGTGGAATCACTTAACTCTCTCTCACTTGCTGTGTATGCTGTTTGGCACAGAAGTAGTCCTGTGCTGCAGCTTCACCAGATTAATACCTCATTTTTAAGTATGCCTAGTGCTGCTCCTAGTCCCCTGGCTTGATAGTAATGGTAGAGTGGGGATGTACCATGCCTTGATCGTGTATATTGACAGCTTTCAGTGAGTATGTTCAGTGACTGACTGAATTACAATAACAAAACTTATGGTCTACCAAACATGTTTCACTCTGCGATCTGACTTGTCCAGTATTAAAATCCACTAGAGTCATAGCAATTTAAATTCTATTAATAGCTGTAAGCAGAATTTTTTTGTTTTTAGACCTTTTGCTTTTTTTTGTTAATTATCAAGATGTAAATATTCAGGGAATGATCTCACCTAGTTTGTGTGTGATACTAGAATATGCACAAGTGATAGGATTATAAAGAATGCTTGACTACAGAATATTAATCTTAATATTTAGCAGAATAAACCATGTAGAAAGCAAAAATAAAATCAGTAATGCGAGACTGGAATTTAGATTTGATAGTCGCTTACTGTGTGAAGACATGAAGTTATATCCAAAGCGTTCCAGGGTGTATTTGAAGTTCAGTTAATTAAGAATCAAAGTATATCATTTGCCTTTATGCAAGTCCCTGTTTAGACTTCAAATAGTGGATTCATGCAAGGGGATATTGAGGAAGTGGAAAGGGTGCGGAGAAGGACTTCTTGATTAACCCTCACGAGACTTTGATAGTAACTAGATTTGAAGCCAAATGACTTTACATGAACTTTTGAGGACACTCAGAAGTATTAATCAATTGTGGTATAGAGGCATTCCTGCCTCAATGAATTCTCATTTGTTAAATGCTAAACATCCTAAGATACTTTGATTGCCATTGATTGTAATTGAATTTGTTCTTTTGGCACTAATAGCCTTCTGTATGGTTTATTGGCCAGAGTGTGCAGTTTTGCAGACCTGAATGAGAGACATCCATCAATCACTGAGAAGTAGAGTGCTGATTGACTGACTGCTGAAACCCACGGTATCAGACAGAACTCAGGTAGACTCCTCTGTGCTTTAAGTAAAAGCCAAATACTGACGATTTTGGAAATCTGAAACAAATACAGATAATGCTGGAGAAACTGAGCAAGTCTGGCAGCATCTGTGGAAAGAGAAACAGGGTTAACGTTTCAAGTCTGTTATGACTTGTCTAAACATGACTGAATACAGATATAATTTACAAAAATATTCAGGTGCATGAGTTTTTTGAAAGGACAGGCAGGAAGCAAAGTGTGGTGCAATAACATTGTTAGAACAGGATGGAATAAATACCATAGAAAGAAATGATCTTAAATCAGAAGATGTAGAATCCGTATGGGTAGGGGTAAGAAATAACAAGGGGAAGAAGACGTTGATAGGAATTCCTAACAGTAGCTATTCAGTAGGACTGAGAATAAGTCAAGAGATAATGAGGGCATGTTAAATGTAGTAAATCAATTATAGGTGACTTTAATTTTCATGTAGATTGGGATTTTCAGATTGGCAGAATAGCCACAAGGAAGAATTCATTGTGTGTGTTTGGGACAGTTTCCAAGAAATAATATGTTGGGAATTCAACCAGGGATCAGGCTGTTTTGGATCTGGTGATGTGTAATGAGGCAAGTTTAATAAATAATGTCAAAGCGAAAAAGCACCAAGGAAATAGTGACCGTAATATGGTAGAAATTAACGTTCAATTTGAGAGGGAGGAGTGTAGGTCAGAAATAGCTGCACTAAACTTAAGTAAGGATAATTACAAAGGAATGAAGGCAGAGCTGGCTGGAGTGGAGTGGCGAAGGATGTTAGCAGCAAAGATGGTTGAGGAACAATGGCAGGCACTTCAGAAAATATTTTACGGTTGATAACAAAGATGTATTGTAGTGAAAAGAAGAATTCAAGGAAGGGGATAAGTCAACCATGGTTAACCAGGGAAGTTAAGGATAGCATCAAATTGAAAGAAAACACATAAAATGTGGAAAAGTTTAGGCAGATGAACTCAGGGCATATTTGGGAACATGGGACTGGGATATCATAGCAATTACAGAGACGTGGCTCAGGGATGGACAGGACTGGCGGCTTAATATTCCTGGGAATAGATGCCATAGGA